GTGGGGCATTAGATATCGAGGTCATAAGCCATTGTAAAAGGAAGTGGATGTGAAGGGTAACAGACTACAAACGCCCACTGGGGAGGCTCAATGATTCCCAATGCGAGCGTTGGAAAGTGCCTTTATAAAGGGAGTACACTGCATCACTCTTAATAATAAATGAATAACTGTTCCTCACTTAAACGGTAATGGCCACAATACTCATTCTACCAAAGAAAACCATCAAAATTAAAAGAGCCGAGCATAATTAAAACATTCGCGAATAGAGATCATCTCGACGTCCTTCAAAACTTTTTCCAACGAAGATATAAGTGAAGGATATTTAAAACAGGTCACAACAGAAAAGGAAGGGCTTCTCTCAGTATTACTCATTTATTAGTCTAAATGCATAAGGCATTGTGGCCCATCGAAATTACTATAAAAAATATAATGAACTGGAGTAGCAGTAGGTTCTGTACAAAATTTTACATCTCATAGATCCATTTAGATTTGATTGATCAAAGTATGGACTCGTCCAAAACAGCAGCTTCCAGCGCGGAGAGAAGCAAATCATCCGCTCCATCGTCCAAAGTATCAGTGGCTTCGGTCGAAGGCGGCGATTCTGGAACAAGAATCTCACTACTTCGGACTTCAGTGCTTTCAGATTGGCAATTTCCAGGCGAGGAAGAAACCGGAGGTAGGAGGGAAATACGCGCTTTAGTCTTCCTGCAACTATCCTAAAACAGTTTAAATCACCACATTCATCTCCATACTCATTCCCTCGTTGACGGAAAGAAAATTTGCATTTGCTACGAAAAAAAGTAGGAGCTAAGTTGTCCTTAAGTTCGATCACGCAGTTCTGACCTGTAAACAATGCAAGTGAGAAGTGATCGCACAGTTAATTCTTAGTTAACAAACTGAGATCCAATCTTCGCAGTTCACAACAGCTGCAAATTCACGGAAATAAACCGAAAGTTGCACACAAAGAATAGATGCAGGATGCCAAGGAGAAGATATAATAATGTAAAACAATGAAATGTTTCTCCACGACGCAATTAATGCATACCATGTTCTAGCCATAATTATCCCTCAAATTATTCATGCGAATAACACTATACTGCGCATCCTTTAAGTTGAACTGTAATAGGTCTTCACTAATAACAACGAGAACGTGCAAAATAGGGATTTGAGTAACATAAACTATAATTCGAACGCATATTAATCCTAATACCTTAAAAATCTTCATTTCGAATACCATGAGAAGAAAGTGGCCATGCAACCACTCTTCTATTTTACCGCTACAGGGTGTGAGCTTTTATCGCATTATTCCAGCTTCAGTCCTAAATCGAAGTTGGATAAGAATGTCGAAAAAGCGGAAAAGTAACTATGAAGCATGGCAGGGCTCTCTCTCGCTAGGACTTGAAAGTCAAGCATCCGATTGCCAAATTCGTGGACAGAAGGTAAGAATATACTATGCTGCTAGTTCTCCGCCTAAGACGAGTGTTGGAAGTATGTGATTTCAAGGTGGATGAGGAAATTAAAACGTCATCTTCGATATAACCTATGCTATCTTCGATCTTCTAGTAGTGAAACTCTAAGAATAATACCAAAAGCTATTAGATGAGAAAGATGTTTTGACTTTAGATGCACTTATACACTAGACTGGCAGCATTAAACGCAGTGTCCTATTTATAATGGCAGTATTTATACAACTTACAATTTTGACGCCTGGCACAACGACAAAAGATGTCTAGACTATTTGGGTAAAGAATTGTTTCGTGACCTCGTTCCCACGAATTTAATGCCATGATTATCGGATTGAAGATCCTTACTTAGTCATTCCCAGCTACAGATTGTACTGCGTTTCATAAAATCCGGTAAACTCCAATACAGACGTCTTCTCTTCATATCCCTGCTACTAATGTCGCTACAATTATTGTGTTGACTAGGAGGGGTGTGCGATAGACTTCTGACTTCAAACTACCATCACCTCACTAAATGTCATATTCGGCTATTTCACAGTACCCAACTCACCATTTTTTACCTTTGTGTTTGTCTCTTACATCTTTGAAACACTCTTCTGTTCCCCCCTCTCGACTTTTTTCAATTTGATGTTCCTCCTCCCCTCTGTGAAGCCTGAAGTCAACTAAAGGGCTAATGATAACCATCAAGATGCCTGTCATTTGATATAAATAAATAAATAAATGTTGACGAGGATGTAAGTCACTCATCTTTTCACAAGACCGTCATTTCAAAGTTGAAGTGTCTATAACTGAATCAGGCAAAGCATTTATCGCTTACAAGAGAAGTTACCCAAATGAAGTTTAAGTGGACTGACAATCAGCAGATTCCTACCTCAGACATTTCCTCTGATGCACCAGGTTTAGTTTCAGGTTGGTTTTCTTTTTCAGACTGCAAAATTCAAAGAAACCGAGCCATTACACACTGTGCAAGCAGCAAAAATAGGAATAAAAGCATAGGCGTGTGTGACACTAACCTTTATTGCCACATCCACCTGTGGATGCTTTTCAGTAGTAGTAGTAGTAGTAGTAGTAGTGAGGTACCGGTCCATAAGCTTTGCATCCTTAGACTAAAGCAGAGATTAGGATAATGCACAAAATTGACTATTCGCATGCTAAAACAATATATATATATATATATATATATATGGCTGTCTATAGAGGGCCTTTATTTCAGCACATTCACTAATACTGTGTCTGCGGTTTCTTCTGTGCAACACGATTTAGTCTCAAGCGTATCATAAGGAATCATTATTCGTCAGAAATATTATCCATTCTAGTGTTATTTGGTTCATCTACATGCGGTATTTATAATAATGGACCTTAACATGCAGTTTTCTCTAACTTGAGTGAACTACTCTCATCTGAACAAATCTATGTAGTCTACTGAGATACGGTTTATGCGCCATGGATGTCAATTGGAATGACTTAAACTCACTTTTTGTGGTTAGCCTGAATGACGCGCTGAAGGGTAAAAAATCCAAATGAAGTAAATTCATTTGGAAGAAAAATAATAAAGTCTCATCTGTGAACGATTACTACTTATACCACACGCTCGAGGAAGGCGATAAATTTGTCCAATTTAAACATCTAAATATTTTTCGCCAATGACATAGTGATAGAAAATGGATTACCTTTTAGAGATTTTTTTTTGTGCAAACTGGCTGTATGCATTGATAGAATGGTTAGGCTGTACCATACCTATAGTCCAGTGATATTTGCCTCCCTTAATTAAATATTTTTGCTTGGTTATTTATAACCGATCCACATCCAATTTTTTGGCAATAATCTACGAATGATTTTATAAATCATGTCTTTTAGGACAAGATGTACACATATAAATAATTCATTTTTCGATAAGGTCGAATCTACTATTTTTTATTACCCCCAAAATAGTTACTTTTATTTAGTAGGTTTGGAAATTTCGGGAAATTGCCAGTAACAGTCATTATTAAAGTATTAATGCTCGCATTTGTAGAACATAAATATCATTTAAACTTAAACATATTTGTATACTCAACTTTCACTTCATAGTTTACAAACACGGCAAGCTATTGTTGACATAAAGTCAACAACGTCTGGTACTTGAAGTTATTTAATTGAGATGCTTATAACTAAAATCACTTGAGAACTCGGAAACCAAAGAGCTGGTCATCATAGGAGACCGTTCGGCAAGTCCCAATGATAACAATCGATTCTTTATTACGTGAACACTGATCTTACGAAGTTGAACCAGATTGCATTACCTTGCTATTCGTGCAGTGCCATTTAAATTTAATTCTTTTCATTGACGATTTTAAGGGAGCAATCGATGACTTCATTAGAGAAAGGACACTGTCATACGTGCCTTTATTTCCGAAGATTAAGAAGCTTAATACGATGATCCAATTGAATTTAGGCATGGCGATCAACACTTTCTTTCTATTTTGATTAGTACACTTTGAAGTAGGGAAGTGAAATCAGGTGGAATTTGGCAAAGGGAACGGGAAAGCTTAAAGTTTCAAAATACTTTACTGGACCCACACGCAAGTGCGATCAAGCAACTTGCGTAGGTAGCATAAAGCTTCCACCCTGTCTCATATATAGGACGAGACGAGATGAGGGGGGGTGGCGTGGTGGTGGTGGAAGAGGCTTAAAAAAAAGTAATTGTGTACGCGTCAGCATTAGTTATCTGCAAGCAAACTTTCAACGTCAAAATTTGCATTTTAAAACGACTTTTCGTTGAAACTCACTTCGTCAACAAGCTTCCATTTGCAAGGATCTGGTGTTGGATTAGCTTTATATTGCCAACTAATGCTTCGTAAATTGAGATTGCCTCACACGAGTTAACTTGCAGGGAGATTAAGTTAAAAACTTGAACATGTGAAGGTTTATTGAAGGGAATCAGTAATGTCTTCTGAATCTATGGATAATCTGTATCACTGAGCAGACTTGTCGTGTATTAGGGAGAAGTAATGACTTAAAGATTTTTAGGTCTCTAGGTTAGGGATGACTGGTAAATGAGATGTTTTTTGAAAACATTATATTATTAAGTGCAAAATATGCTTAATTAACTCGTAATTAATTGGCTATTAGTCTATTCAAAGTTGGTTTGAACTTGGTTTGAATAGTTATAGCCAGTGAATTGTTTTCCAATTTCAAGGATTTAATTCCTCAAAGAAAATTTTTCTCGTTTATTCATATGTGAAATCAAGCTTTGTTAACTGGAGAAAACTTCCGGACAAATTAAATGCTAAAATGAATAAAAAAATACTTCCTGTATCTGGAGAATGGAGGTCACAGTTATTATGCATTTATTTATTTATTCATTAATTTTTATTGCAATTTAGATTCAGAATGCGATGTTAAATCCGAATGACCATAAATTGGAGGAAAAGGATATTTCGGAGATAATCGACATCTTAAAGGTTCCAGCTTCGAAAGTCTTTGCATCCCAACATGCGCATGCAATAGAAAACATAAACAAGCACTTTGAAAGGATTGTATGGAAGTATAAATGTCTCAATTTCTTTTTACTTAGATGAATAATAATCAAAGCAACCCTAAAGTTCCTCTATTAAATCCAAGCAGCTCTTCCACGACCAGACCAACCAATAACGATACCAAAGACGATGTAAGATTTGCTTATTTTGTTTTGGTAGTTTTACTTTGCTGTATTCATTTCAGTGAGTCTGCAATAAGAAAGCTTTTTTGGAATTGCATCATATATAATATTTTCGTAGGCTACATAAACCTTTGTTTCCATTGTTTGCTGCATCGGACAATGAGGTCAATTAGGTAGAAAGGTTTGTCGTGTATCGTTAGACAAAAATCGCTTTGATTTGTTGGTTTGACGCAAAATGTTTCCCACTTATTGCATTTCCCAAATGTGAGGTAACTCTTTTAATAAAAAAAAATGTAAAATGTCCCCTTTTATCGTGTCAGAGACTACGGATTCGAGTTCCATCAGTGTACCATCATCAATTAACCATAATGATTAAATCTGGGGAGGGGGGAGGGATGACTAGCGTAAAGTCTCACTAAGGCGGCTAAGAGACATGTTTGTGCGTATCTTAGATGATCTTAGCTAAACACTTTCCTGTGAATTTGAATTTCAGTGAAAGAATAAAGGTATGCACTTAGAAAGTGAAATGATTTAAAGTGTAAATGAGTGTTGGTAAAACATTGATCAAATAGTTAGTTCAATTCTCATTGATACATTGCCAAATTTTGGACTATATTCGTTCATGCCACCTCCATTTCTCATTGTATTTCTAACGGCATCTATTTCAAAACAAATTATGCTAGAGTACTATAGATAGGAAAACACTGATATGCTGAAAATATCGTTCAGTTCATTATGGAAGGGGAACAAGTGGAAGTAGATAATGAAGCCGGAGCACTAGGAGTGGCTGTTTCTCATTTTAAATTTGTTCTCAAACACATCGATTTAAGCGAGTCTAGGTTGGCATTTCATAGTTGATTATTCAAAAGCTAAAATTTTGGTATTTGAGTTGGATAATAAGAAAAACCAGGTTCGCGAATGATCGAACTTATTGAAAAAATGTTTGAATTGAGTATTTAGTCATTTCTCCAAGTATATTCTTCTCCCCTGGGGTGTGCGATAGACTAACCTCCACGTGGAGCACACTGGAGCAATTTATACTCATACGGCAAAGAAGTCTATTAACCGACAGTTGACTTCTGACTTCAAACAACCATGACCCGACTGCATGTCATATTCAATCACTTCCACAGTGCTCATCTTACCTTTTTTCTGTCTTTGTGTCTGTCTACTTCTTTTACATCTGTGAATCATTATTCTGTCCCCCCTCTCGACTTTTTGCCATTTTGGTGTTCCTCCTCCTCCTCTCTGTGAAGCCCAAAGTCAGCTAAAGGGCTAATGATAACCATCAAGATGCCTGTCATTTGATATAAATAAATAAATAAATGTTGACGAGGATGTAAGTCACTCATCTTTTCACAAGACCGTCATTTCAAAGTTGAAGTGTCTATAACTGAATCAGGCAAAGCATTTATCGCTTACAAGAGAAGTTACCCAAATGAAGTTTAAGTGGACTGACAATCAGCAGATTCCTACCTCAGACATTTCCTCTGATGCACCAGGTTTAGTTTCAGGTTGGTTTTCTTTTTCAGACTGCAAAATTCAAAGAAACCGAGCCATTACACACTGTGCAAGCAGCAAAAATAGGAATAAAAGCATAGGCGTGTGTGACACTAACCTTTATTGCCACATCCACCTGTGGATGCTTTTCAGTAGTAGTAGTAGTAGTAGTAGTAGTGAGGTACCGGTCCATAAGCTTTGCATCCTTAGACTAAAGCAGAGATTAGGATAATGCACAAAATTGACTATTCGCATGCTAAAACAATATATATATATATACAACTTAAAACCTACCCTAACATGAGTTAGACTGATATTATCAAACGATTCCATATTGAGTCCAACCTGGCTCAAAACATCCAGTTTATTTTTTACCAGAGACCACAATTGCTCATCCACTGTCCCACTGGCCAGAAGATAGTGGATTTCAACCGAATCAGTTTGGCCTATTCTATGAGCCCTATCTTCGGCTTGCATGAGAACTCCTGGATTCCAATAAAGCTCAGCAAACACCACCAAATTGGAGGCGGTTAAATTGAGACCAGTGGAAGCAGCTGTGATGGAGAGAAGGGCAGCACGACAGGTGGGAGACGTCTGAAAGAGATCGCAACAAGCCCCACGTTGATCGGAGGAGGTTCTACCGTCAATTCGGACGTAGTTGAAATTCTGTGGGGAAAGAAAGGCGTTAAAGAGAATCTGATTCCGAAAACAAAGCGTACAAAAAATAAGCAAAGTACCTTGGATTCCATAAGTTGGCTAAGAGCATCCAGCATTTCCTGATGGTGAGCATATATGATGCATTTGCGACCACTCTCCAGAAGATCTGTGATGTATTGTCTTGAAAGTCAAATGAATAATAACTTTTGGTTAGCATTAGGACACAATACCTAGAAGATTACAAACTTGATCAATAGAAAAGCTAAATTAGAAAAGTCTCGTTGCCGATACATAAATAACAAAAATTCTTTAACACCTTGTTTCGACTCTCGATTAATAGATCAAATAAGGTCAAATTTTAAATTACTCAACAATTTACGCCAAAGGTGGGATTAATGGTAGTGTAATGGACTTTAAAGACCTCTAGTCTCGTAAAGAATTTGTAGCTGAGCTATCGATCTTTAAAAAGAAACAACAAAGCTGAAACATTACCTAGAGAAGATTCTACCAAGCTTCCATTTAATAAAACTAAGCAGAGAAAAACCATTGCCAAGACTATTCAAGAATGAAAGGAATTTTCTGCGGACTTTTCAATCTAATACTTAGCAGAAGCCAAATACGGTAATACCAATTACGTGCAACCTGTCATTGAGAGTAAATAGATAGTGTAGGGTAATAAAAGGGAGCGAGATCACTGCAACACTTAATAAACAGCCGATATCAACCACCCATGAGGTTTCAATCAAACTGCAACAGAACTCATTCAATAAGGATATAAGCAACTTGGAAAGCCCCTACTTGACTGAAGCAACCTTGGACTGACAAGTTTCCTTGAATAAGCGCAACACCTCTCCGTGTTTTTCAACGCCCTGAAAAGATAAACACAAGGCACCGATTTAGAAAAATACATTGAAGGAGAAGAATGAAAAATACAGGACAGATGGGGAGGAGAGATGCTCACGTTTACGTCCAGGGAGGCTAAATTTATGGATTGGAGATTCTTTGAAGCATTTAATTTCTTCACCGGATTTACATCGAGCAATTTGACGTGACGAGATTTAGGAGGTAGTTGGTTGGCCACCTCACTTTTTAATCGTCTGAAAGCATAAATAGAAATTATGTTCTCAGGTCATATTGAGTCATGCACTCTGCTGTTTTCTACCCGATTTTATCAGAGAAAAACATGTAGGCACAATTTAAATTATATCTTTGCAATCAATGATTCTTGATAGAAATAATTGCAAAAGCGCAAAGACCACTATGGTTGTAAAACAAACTACAACCCGGAAACTTACCGAATCATCACAGTTTCCTGAAGTAGAATTTGAAGTTCTTGCAAATTCGAGCATCCCTTATAATCCCATCCCCAGGCAGTTTCTTTGGCATCGCAGTAGCGCTGACCGAATTCATGGAGACCACCACGAAAAAGGTTGGGCCGCAAGCCAACGAGTTGGGAGTAGAGTTCCATAGGTCGTGAGAGGGCCGGTGTACCTGTCAGTAAAATAGCCCGTTTGGCAGCCTGCAAGGAAATGAGAAGAAGAGCTGAACTACCTACGCCACTCGTGTCATGTCTGAGCTGTTGGCTTACATACCTTTAAAATAGGGAGAGCTGCTTGAGTCCTAGACGCTTTCATATTCTTCAAATTGTGAGATTCATCCTGCAAAAAGTGAATAAGTTGATGCTATTTATACCGGCTATTAATCTTACCGCAAGATATCTGAGTCTCTAAACTAAATACGTTTGTGTTTAAGACTGCAAAAAATTAGAACTGGCGGCTGAAATGGGTGAATACGACAATACAAATAAATTCACGGCTTTGTTAATGAAGAAATCTGGTCAAAGTAGCTCCTTAATGGCTTGCTCGATTAAGCTACGACGGATGCTGACACCCTCTGAGCCTACTAGACTGTGCTGGACGTCAATCATCACTTGCAACTACATTATTAGGGGATATCCAGCCTAGAGAAATGAACGACACGACCAACCAC